AAAAAAAAAAAAAAAAAAAAACAGTGTTCTAGAAGTCGCTCGACCAGCGCCTAACGCCTAGGCGGAGCCTAGAAATCAAGATTAATTACCTTATTTTTAATTTATTTTTGTTAATTACAAAATAAAACTATCTCAACTTATAATAAATCAACACCCCTAAGTCCAAATAATAATATTAATATATTATAAAAAAAACATGATAACAAAATAATGTAATTAGCATTTAAAAAAATTAAAAAAAAAAATTCCGTCAAGCCCGCCTAGGAGCATCTAGGTGACGCCTAGGTCCGCCTAGGCGCCCCTATTCGCTGCCAAGCGGTCTGGCAGACCTAGGAGCGCCTAGGTCCGGCTAGGCCCACCTAGGCACCGCCTAACCAATTTTTTCAGCTGAGTTATGCAAATCGGAGGCGGCCGAGCACCGCCTAGCACCTAGTCGCGATCTAGGCGGCCACCTAGGCCGACTTTTAGAACAGAGCAAAAAAATGAATAAAGCCACTAAAAGAGATGCATATATGTTACCAAGACAAGATTATATTTTTAGACGAATTAAAAAGTCAAAATGGTATAGTACATTAGACGCTAAATTAGGATATTGGCAGTTAAGGAAACATGAAGAAACTAAACCTTTAACCGCATTAGTTTTCCACCTCAAAACCACTATGAATACAATATAATATCATTTGGACTTAAACAAGCACCTACCATATATCAACGATTTATGGATAACAATATTTAAGGATTAGAATTAATAAGTCTTGTTTATATAGTTGATATAGTTGTTTTTACACAAGGATCAAAAGATCATTTAAAAGAATTTGCAAAGGTTTTAATACAATTAGGTAATAAAGGAGTTATTTTAAGTAAAGAAAAAACAAAAAATTGTAAAACCAAAACAAATTTTTTAGGAATGAAATAGTCAAAAAAGGTTATATCGAACCTAAAAAATATCTACTCGAAAAAGTTACATCAGTTCCATATCAACTTTACAACATAAATCAAATTTACAAATTTCTTGGATGTTTACCATATATTGGAGAAAAAAGGTTTTATAAAAAGTCTTGCGAAAGAAAGAGAGTTATTACAAAAGATGTTTTCAGAAAAAGTACCATATAAATGGACAAATAATGCAACTAGAGCAGTACAGTCCTTAAAAAAACTATGTACTCAATTACCACGACTTTATCTATAGCGTCCCAGAGTCCGCAAAATTTTTAAAAGGTAATGTCTTAATCCTAACTATAGCTTCGGCTGTGTTAGGATTTAGTTCATAAGATTCGGATGTGCATATCGATGACGTTCCTAATAAAACTCAACAATCCAATCCTTGTATCTTTGCTACCTCTACAGAGCTCCTTTCCATATGTAGCAAAGTAACACTTAAACTTTTGCAATCCACCAAATTCAGCACGATTTTTGACAAGAGGTCTGCTCGACCATTTTCTCCCCTCGAAATCTAATCAGCTCAAAAAAGCATATCGATGACATTCCTAATAAACCCAACACTCCAATCATCGGCCTCTTGTATCTTTGCTACCTTTACAGATCTTCCTTTTATATGTAGAAAATAACACTTTGACTTTTGCAATCCACCAAATTCAGCACGATTTTTGACAATAGGTCTGCTCGACCATTTCCTCCCCTCAGAATTTGATCAGCTAAAAAAAAACAGAATTTCTTTTGCAATTTCTTCATCTCGTCTATGTACTTCTGCATCCTACTCTCTTTCACTTCAAATTCTTTATGGAATTGACCCACCGCCAATTGAAAATCTGAGTCTTCCTAGATTTCTCGAGCTCCTCTAGCTATGGTCAACTGAAAGCCCTTCACCACTGGCTCATACTCTGCCTCATTATCAAGTACCCTGAATTATAGATTGGTTGCAAATTCCAAGTTTTCACCTTTGGGAGAGATTAGTACAATACCCAACCTCGTTCCCTTTTTTGGAAAGAGAGCCATCGACATACAATTGCCACTTCCATTATGATTCGACCTTCTATTTTATACCTTCTAGGATGAAATCAACTAGAACCTGGTTTTGATCATCCTCTGAGGTTCGTAAAGAATGGAATATTCGTTTAGCTCCACTTCCCAGTATACCAGTCGACCTGAAACTGATGGTCGACCTAAAGTTTCTACCACTAGCATATTCGTTTTGACTCTCACCTTTTGATTTCAAAAATGAGGCCTCAGTTTCCTAACTGTGACCACCACAGCCAAAGCGCACTTTTCAATTTTCGAATATCTTACCTCAGCTCCTTAACATGATAGATCAGGAATTGAGTTGGGCCCTGTTTTCTGAGCAACACTAAGCTCACCGTTTTCACACCTATTGAGATGTAAAAGACCGAATCTTCCCTCTAAGCTGGCTTGGCTAGAACCGGTAGATTGGCTAACAAACTTTGTAACTCCTCGAATGCCTTCTGGGCCTATTCTGTCCAACTAAACTTCGAGCTCTTTTTCAAGGTCCTAAACAGTGGGCTGTTTTTCTCCGCGACCTTCAAGAAAAAGCGGCTCAATCCTGCAATTCAACCTGTC